CCTAAATGCCCTTCAACGGAAGAATGGATAAATAAAATGTGGTACATATACACAATGGAATACTACTCAGCAGAGAAAAACAATGGCATCATGAGGTTTGCAGACAAATGGATGCATCTAGAAAAAATCATCCTGAGTGAGGTAACCCAGACTCAGAAAGACAAACATGGTATGTACTCACTCATAGGAGGATACTAGATGTGGAACAAGGATGACTGGACTGCTACTCACATCACCAGGGAGACTACCTGGAAAACAGGACCCCAAGAAAGACACAAGGATCGCCCAATGACAGAGAAATGGAAGAGATCTACATGAACAGCCTGGACATGAGTGGGGGTAGTGAAGGGTGAGGGTCGAGGGAAAAAGAGCTTGGGGGAGCGGGAGATCCCAGCTGGATCAAGAACAGAGAGGGAGAACAAGGAATAGGAGACCATGGTAAATGAAGACCACATGAGAATAGGAAGAAGCAAAGTGCTAGAGAGGCCCACAGAAATCCACAAAGATACCCACACAACAGACTGCTGACAATGATTGAGAGACAGCCCGAACTGACCTACTCTGGTGATGGGATGGCCAAACACCCTAATTGTCATGCTAGAAACCCCATCCAACTACTGAGGGATCTGGATGCAGAGATCCATGGCTAGGCCCCGGGTGGATCTCTGGGAGTCCAATTAGCGAGAATGAGGAGGGTTTATATGAGCGAGAATTGTTGAGACCAAGGTTGGATAAAGCACAGGGACAAATAGCCAAACAAATGGAAACACATGAACTATGAACCAATGGCTGAGGGGTCCCCAACTGGATCAGGCCCTCTGAATGGGTGAGACAGTTGATTGGCTTGATCTGTTTGGGAGGCATCCAGGCAGTGGGACCGGGTCCTGTGTTCATTGCATGAGTTGGCTGTTTGAAACCTGGGGCCTATGCAGGATCGCTTGGCTCGGCCTGGGAGGAGGGGACTGGACCTATCTGGACTGAGTCTACCAGGTTGATCTCAGTCCTCGGGGGAGTCTTTGCCCTGGAGGAGGTGGGAATAGGGGGTGGGCTAGGGGGAAGGTGAGGGGGGCGGGAGGGGGGAGAACAAGGGAATCCGTGGCTGATATGTAGAATTGAACTGTATTGCAAAAGAAAAAAAAAGAAATATAGCTGGTAAAGATTTTCTCATTTTGTGTACTGCCTGTCTGCTGTGCTGATACTTTCCTTTTCTGTACCGAAACTTTTTCAATCCATGTATTTCCCATCTGATGATACTTGGGGGTGAGTTAATGTGCTACTAAAGTTCCGTTTAGAAATTTCTTGCCCACCCAGTGTCTTGACAAATAGTCTCTATATTTTCCTCTAGAATTTTCAACATTGGAGGTTTTAAATTAAGGTTTTTGATCCATTTCAACTGATTTTTGTATAAGGAGAAGGATATGGGAATACTATTCTTCTGTTCGTGGATTTCCAGTTTTTTCCCAAAGCATGTTTGTAGCTGAAGTTTTTTTGTGTCCCGGCCTGCCGGCAGTCGGGACAAATCTCTCCCACTCGTGTCCCCCAAGTAAACACAGAGACTTATATTATTTATAAACTGTATGGCCATGGCAGGCTTCTTGCTATCTGTTCTTATATCTTAAATTAACCCATTTGTATAAATCTATACTTTGCCACGTGGCTCGTGGCTTACTGGTATCTTACATCATGCTTCTCCCCATGGTGGTTGGCCGTGTCTCCTTTCCTTCCACCTCCCAGCATTCTCCTCTTCCTTCTCTAGCCTACACTATCCTTTTTCAGTTCCCCCAATATTAGGGCAGCTTCCATATGTCCTAATTAAGTGGCCAAAGCTTGGCTTTTGTGGCTTCATGAATGGCAGGCATGTGCTGTACCACTGAGTTATTTCCCCAGCCCTAGACATTTTTCCAGAGAGGATGTACAAATGGCCAAGAAGCATATAAAAATGTAAAAATGTGCAACACCATTAAGCATTAGGTGAATTAAAATAAAATAAAATCCAGATACCACCTTATATTTGCTATGATAGTTATTATCAAGAAATAAAAGATATCAATCAGGCTGGAAAGATGACTTAGCAGTTAAGAGCACTGACTGGTCTTCCAGAAGATCCAGGTTCAATTCCCAGCACCCACATGGCAGCTCACACCTGTCTGTAACTCCAGTTCCAGGGGATCTGACACCCATGGCAAAGCACCAGTGCACATAAAAATTGTTAAAAAATAAAACATACCAAATATTGGCAAGGATGTAGGGAAAACAGAACCCTATATACTGTTGGTGGAAATGTAGATTGATACAGGCACTAGAAAGGACAGTATAGTAGTTCCTCAAATATTTAAAATAGAACTACCTTGTGGTCCAGCAATCAATTCCTCTTTTGACACAAACTAAAAGGATAGAACTACAGCATCATTTATCAAAACATTATTCACAAGCCAGGTGTGGTGGCACATTCCTTTAATCCCAGCACTCAGGAGACAGAGGCAGGTGGATTTCTGTAAATTCAAGGCCAGCCTGGTCTATAGAGCAAGTTCCAGGACAGCCAGGGCTACACAGAGAAACACTGTCTCAAAAAACAAAACAAAACAAAAAAACCAAAAAAAAAAAAAACCAGACAAACAAAAAACCAAGCCTCAACCAAAACAAAACAAAAAGCAAACAAACAAACAAAATAAGTTAAAAGCTTAATTGTTTTTTTTTTCCCTGAGACAGGGTTTCTCCGTGTAGCCCCTGGCTGTCCTGGGACTTGCTCTGTAGACCAGGCTGGCCTCAAACTCACAGAGATCTGCCTGCCTAAAGACACTACCACCTCACTAAGCTTCTAATTTGTTAAATGAGGAAGTATGTAATATTTTTTAGAATAATTCATAAAATAGTATGAACAAGAGAACCAATTTTGGTTTAAAATTTTCTTTGAACATTAAAAAAGTAAACAAAAGATTCATTGGGTACTGACATCATGTACTTTGTTCACTGACCATCTGCTTTCCCTGCTCTGTTCCCTCCTTCATAGTATTAGATGATTCCACTGCAGACATGAGCTCTCGTAGAAAGCATTCCACAATGATGCCAAGAACCCCCCACCCCTGTCAAGGCTGGCCACATTTCCCTGCTCCTGCACCCCATCAATCACCCCCACTGCTGCTGCAATACACAGCTGCACAGACCATTTTCCCTGAATCATGCTTTGAACTCAGAAGCAAACTGTTGCATAGCAAAATAAGCTGAGAACCAAAAATCGTTCCCAGAAGAAAAAGTGGGCTCAGGTAATGCCAATGCTATTGGAAAAGTGGATGAAATCTTATCTCCAAACCACACAAGTATCCCATCTCCTCTTTCTTTCTTTCTTTTTTTTTTGGTTTCTCTATATAGCTTTGCACCTTTCCTGGAACTCACTCTGTAGCCCAGGCTGGCCTTGAACTCACAGAGATCCGCCTGCCTCTGCCTCCTGAGTGCTGGGATTAAAGGCATGAGCCACCACCGCCCGGCTCCATCTCCTCTTTCTACTAATGTCCTCCATCCTGTGCACCTAACCCTATGTGCTCAGCACTATCCTGGAAAAACTTGACAGCTCACTGATTCCTCCATTTCATAAGCACCCCAAGATCTCATTCACAGAAAGGGGTTGCTTTTGCAAAGTGTTTGTGATCCGCACACATAGAATGGTGTTCCATCTTCAGGATCACCCTGTAAAAGCATGGAATCAATTCTACTTTCCTCACTGAACAAGAAACTTTTTCCAAGATGGTGAGAAGCTTTCTGACAGCTATAGCTTGCAGTAATTCAGGAGGGCACAAAGGTGGGATTCCATAGTCCTGGCTTCTAGTTCCAGCTTTTGAAATTACCCCAAAGTGTTCCCAGACCAGTATCTCAGCCAGTGAGTTGATGGTCCAGGCATTCATTTACCACTGTGTGGGTCTTGCTTTAAAAGCCATCTGCCGCCCTTCTTGCTGTCTCCCCTGTCTTTTTCTAAGCTATAGGAGACTATCCTGTCCTCTGTCAGGGGAGTCTTAAAACTGGACCACACATAGCATTCAAAGGAGTCAACTCTCTCTCATTACCACACTTAACCTGCCTGTGGGAGGAAAGCTGTACTGCTGTCCATGTTCACAATATCAGGAACCAGTATCATAAGCACACAGACATGACTGTGTCATCCTGACAGGGATCCCAGATAGCTCTGATGAGGGAAAGCATGCCATTTTTATTGCTGGTCACCACTGCTATAATTGCCTCATCTGGTTTTGAACCACTGTGTTCACTTATTTCTTACCTCAAAGTCCCTTTCATCTCAGAATTTTCCAATAAGCCAGCAGTCTCCTAGCATTCCTCCTTATACCTAATTCTCAGAAAGCACATACATTCAGAGCCACATATGAACAAATCTATTTTAAAATTTTCTTTGCATATAAAAGAATAAACATGTTTCATTTGGTGCTGACATCATGCATTTTACTCACTGACTCTCTGCTTCACCTGCTGTTCCCTCCCTTATAGTATTAGATGATATGATCACATGGCAGACATGAGCTCTTCCAGAAAGTGTTCCATAAAGACAGCAAGAACACCACCTCTTTCCCTCCTCCACAGCCATGCCCTCATAGGAAAGCCCAAAGGGGAGGTTTAAGAAAGAAACAAACACTGTGATCCTAAGTCAGATGAGTCAGTTATGTGAATTGTGAGCAGGGATGGCTCTATAGCTCTCTTCACATGGGAAGGTTGAAGGTGCTTGTGGGAAAGGATTGGGTCCTTTCAAAAGCACATGTGGTCTATTTTTAAGAATCCACTGGCAGAGAACAGAGCCATCTCCTACAGCTGAGAAGAGCCCAGGAAGAGTAGCTAAGTGAGTTCTTCTGAATACAAGAACCATACATCGGTAAATGAGGACCTAGACCATCAACTCACTGGGTGAAATACTGGCCTGGGACATTTAGAGCACTAAATTTACATGACATTTCAGAGCACATATTAGTCCACAGAAAACAATGCAAGAAGCGACATACAGACATCTCTAGGAGCCTCAACTGGATCCAGTGGATAGTGTCCTGTTAAGAACTGGGCATCCCTGGGTGTCGTAGTGCAGCTCTATATTCCCAGAACTCAGGAGCCATGGGTAGCAGGATCAATACCAGCCTGCAGCAAAAATAAATTGAATCAAAATAAAATCGTAAAAGAAGATAAAAAATATGGCAACACCAGACATAACAACCCACACCTGTGATCCTACTAATATGGGAGACTGAGGCAATATGACCACAAGTTTGAAGTCAACACGGGAAACTAATAAAATTCGGTCTCAAGTATACCTGAGAAGAGGTTGGGGGGATCATAGCTCAGTGGTAGAACACTTACCTAGCAAGTGCAAGGCCCTAGGCTCAATTCCCAGTACCACTAAAACAAAAAGATAGAATCAATTATTTTTGTCATTCCTGAAACTTGGTGGCAGAAACAAATACTAGGAGCCTAATTCCATTTAATAAGATACTTTGTATCCTTCTGATTTACCTTTATGTTAATCATACTGTGGCAGGAGAATAGAGGTTTGGAGAAAGCTACCTCAAGACTAGCACACAAAGAAAGCCTTTTGACAGAGAAAGACCGCAAGCCCTTCTTCTGAGCTTCATTGAACAAACAGAGCACACGGCAAAAGGTCAGCGTTCCAATCAGATAGGAGAGCAGGGTGCAATGTAAATATGCCACAAAGGGTCACATGGCTTCATGCTCCAGCACTTTTGGGGCTCTACCTGCAGCTCACTAGCTCATCCTCATTCTTGTGTTTTTCCTTTGTAATAAATAATCTCCATTTCTGCTTCTAACTTTATGTCCCTGGTCGAATTCATCAGCCTTGGAACAAGAACTAGTATTTCAGCAGGTGCCTCTGGACTCAGATCTACTACTATCACAACAGAAATCTATTTTTCTTTTGAGCTCTTAAAGTACAATAGAGGAACCAGACTGGTAGATCTGCAAGGTTAATGACCACCAGAGAGTACACTTTCAATGGGGCAGCTAAGGGAAAATGTTATTGAATGAAATAACAATGGGTCAAAAGCGTGGCCTTATTGTCTAGATCAAAGCTCCTCTGTTGGTCATTATTATAACCTATTATTTATTGGTCATGGTATCTTAGGTGAGAAGGCAATACCGTCAATTTCAAAAAAACGTAATTCTTACTAATAATACACTACTTTGTGCTACAAAATATTTCTCTTCTCACTAGCACACTAGAGGTAGGTACTGCTAATATACCCATTGTTCAGAAGAGGAAGCCAGAGAATTGCAATCTTATTTATTTACAAAATGCATGGTCAGAACAAGGGTGAGTGGAGATTCCAACCCAGAAATTATGTTTCCGTAAATGCCCTGCGCGCCAGGCATGCAGTGAGTTAGGCATGGAACACAAAATACAGAACATTAAAAATTACAAATTCAAGGCAAACACACCAAAAACGGCACACCGAGGACCGGAATTGGTCCAGCAGCTTATATGAGTCACGATAAACTATTCACACAAGAAAATGAGTTCCCACTTCAGAATGATTGATAACCTTGTGAGTCAACCTCGAACAAAAGAGAAAGAGGCAGGTCAGGCATTGTATGTGTTTTGGCATAATAGACGCCGGGCTTCAAGAATGAACTGGCCTGCCAATGCCCAACAACTCCCGGGGTCAAACCCTGGTTGGAGGTTGGAGCCGGCTGGGGATGCTTGCTGTGTGTTACTGTGTCCGGTGTGGTCCCGGAAAGATGCGGCGAGATTCTGGATGGCTGCGACCTTCGCAGAGGCGTCTGGGACTAAGCTGGTGTAGCTACTGCCACCGCCGCCGCTGCTCCCGGAGGCCGGAGGGGAGAGGGCTAACGGGGGAAATCACAGTGCGTTTTCCTGGCTCAAAACCAGAAAGAGGAAAAAAAGGGGAAAGGGTAGCTACTAGCGGCGTGGAGACAGGAGACTGGAAATGGGTACGGACCACGAGGAAAAGGGAGTAAGAATAGGGCTGAACTGCAGGCGACCACTGATGACGTCGGGGGGGCAGGGGCTTGTCGCTGTTTCCGGTGTGTTGGGGACTGGATTGATGGTCTTTTATTTGTGGCGGGCGAAGGACGGCATCTAGGATTGGAAAAGATGCTTGCAAGAAACGTGTTGCCTAACACACACACACACACACACACACACACACACACACACACACACACACACACACACACACACACACACACACACACACACACATCTCTGTCTCTCACATACACACCACACACGCGTACCCTCGCGGGTCTCTAGTAGTGGATTTTCTTGGTCCCTAGGTTCGGATTCAGCTCCTGGTGGGATCACTGTTTGGCACTGAAGATAACTGCCATTCCTGCTGTGTTTTGGGGATTGCATTAGAGGTTCGTTTTACCGTTTACATCCTGCCTGTTGCCATCAATCCTGCAAACAGGTTTTGACAACACAAGGGCTTAGTGATGCTACCCAGAGAAAAGAGTCAGCGATCAGCCTTCCCTAATGTAAGGCTTTAACATTTTTTTAGGAGGAAAGAAGGGCAAAACTTTCTTCTGCAGGCAATTCCCCCTGGCACATTTCCACCCTGTTTTAGCTCCAGGTGCAACAGCTATTTGGGGAGATGAGTAGCACATGTGATCCAAACTAGTGCGTTCTATAGAAAGGAAGAACTTATTCGGGAGAATCAGCCTTACTCTTTGTGAACAGCAGTGCGGCATGCATGGGTTTTGCTGGCTTGAGTATTTGATAGGTATGTGTACCAATTCTTTGTTATTTCTAGCCAACACAATACACAGCAGGAAATCTGGCACCTATCAGAAAACTTAAGCAAACATTAAAAAACCCCAACCTGCCGGGCGGTGGTGGCGCACGCCTTTAATCCCAGCACTTGGGAGGCAGAGGCAGGCGGATCTCTGTGAGTTCGAGGCCAGCCTGGTCTACAGCGCGAGATCCAGGAAAGGCGCAAAGCTACACAGAGAAACCCTGTCTCGAAAAACCAAAAAAAAAAAAAAAAAAAAAAAAAAAAAAAAAACCCCAACCTTTTCCTCATTAAAAATGTTATTAAAGTGTATAGGTGTTTTGCCTGCATGTAGCTCTGTACAATACATCCATGCAGTGCCCACAGTGGCCAAAGAGGGCGTCGGATCCCCTGGGAATGGAGTCGCAGACTGTTGTGAACTGCTGTCTCATTGCTGGGAATTCAATCAGGGTATTCTGGAAGTGCCCTGAACCGCTGGGCCATCTCTCCAGCCCCACCAAGTAAACTTAGTGCTTTAGAACCATCCAAACTGTTGCTTTGTTAATCGAGAAACAATATAGCATGTAATACAAGTCAGTAGTTTTCAGATTTCTCTGGGCATGCCAATCATCTGGAGGAAGACTTGTTAAAGCAGAGTGCTGGGTTGAATCCATAGGTTTTTTTTTTGTTTTGTTTTTTGTTTTTTGGTTTTTTTAGTTATTATGGGTTGAGCTTCAAAATGTAAAGTCTTCACAAGTACCCAGGACATGTAAACACCACTGGCACCAGGACGAGTCTCAGAGAAGTGGTGTTCTACACAGAACCTGATTTCTGTTCCAAATTACCAAGTTTTGTTTCTTCTGGACTGGGTCTGAAAACTTTCCTCCTTCCCCTCCCAGTATGCATTAACAAGAAACAAAACAACAAAAATTTATACATGCATGTAAAACTAAATCCACAGTTTTGACCAAAAGTGGGAAGAGAGAAACTCTCAGGCTGTTTACGCTTTGCTCCTAGAAATGTTACAATTTACGGAAAATATTAAATTTTGGGAAACATGTCCCTGTAGGTAGAGCTATGGACTCATATTAGCCAAAATGGGAAGTAGGTCTTTCCAATATCAGGTACTGTTGGGATGGTTCATTTTCATTCCTGACAAGACACTTCCTGAAGGAACCCTAATTCCCAGGACTCCTTACTAAATTTGGAAATTAGTTATGAAGTCTAGGCACACTCCCAAACGGATTCTGTTTATGTATGATATAGATAATATTCAGTTTTATTTGTATTTTTTCTTGTGTATTGACAAATTGTCTACAGTTATAGGCTACAGTGATATTTTATGTATGAATGTAATGTGGAATAATTAAGTCAAACAGATTAGCATATGTATCACCCAAAATGAGAGAGGCTTACATTTGCACTAGTCACAGTGTTGTCCTTCTAATACAAGTTATAGTTGTCCTTGTCTCTGCCAGGCCACTAAGAAGAATTTCTGCCCCTCCGGCCCGAGTGGAAATGGTTTGAGATCATTTAGTGCTCCCCAAGGCTGACGGTAGGAAAACATTCAGGGCAAATTACCTGGAAGTGTTCTAGTTAAGGCTGTGCCTCAGGAGCCAGAGTGGAAAGGTTGACTCATATTGGCTCCTCAAGGCATCCTTATTGAGTCCCAAACTGCCTGGCATGCCAATAGGCAAGTTAGCTGTTTGATCAATTGTCTTTTAGCTCAGCCACAGTAACAAGGAAGAGCCCAACAGCTGCCAGTTAGGGAATCAAGTTGCTCCATGTGCAAAGGACTTTGCTTAGGTAGAGGAAAATGCATATTACAGTGTTTCCAATAAGAACTCAACTTCAGCAGGGACACCAGGCATCTGCCTGCAATTCCAGCATCCAAGAGACTGAAATATCTTGGAAAGTGGAAGTCCACAGTTCTCCCTCACTCCCCATCTTGACATCTTCCTGCCACCCTGTAAATGTCCAGGACACATTTTCAGAAGTTTTACTAATTACTCTACACTCATGTCAGGTTGCTTCTGAAATACCTCCCCAGGAAAGTTACAAAACAAAACAAATGAAACCCCAGACCAAATAAAGAGACACATATCACAGAACAATAAACATGACCTGCATCTACATGCATCTTCCCAGAGGGCCAGCAAGATATTAGGCTATTGATAACTTCCCAGGAATAAGGAAACTCACTGGAAACACCAAACTAGCAGGGAAAAGTCCTCCCCAAAGAGCCTCTGTATACAGTTGTTGGGAACAGAGGGCCATACGGGCCAATGCACGTTTAGGCAACATGGTACAGACAAGAATATCTGGTACGAGTCAGTTAAAATATGATGGTATGTGACAGACACTAGACTATGATTATGAGTGAGCACAAAATGGCTGGCACCAGAAGTCTGGGAAACCCCCAAAGTAAACAGTGATGTAATTTGTTATAACTATTTTTGACAGAGTGCCACTTTTATGTGATTCTGTATAAATATGGTCTTGAGGTCAGGGGCCTGAACCTTTGCCTTTACCAGGCTGTTTCTGTGTGTTTGTAGCTCTATATGCCTACCACCATGTGGCTTGTGTGTCACAGGCCTGTGTATGTATCCTTTGTGTGCCAGTGGTTACCTGACTAGCAGCCTTTGTCGGGAGTGAATAAAGTATGTCTTATCTTTCTATGACTCCTCAAATTCTCTCATGATTCTCCTCCTTACCTGTACCTAGAACTCACAGCCTCAGCTGCAGGGGGGAAGTCAAGAGGTGGACTGGACCTCTGCCTCTCTGGGAAAGATTCCTAAGGTCCTGGTGAGCATCCTGATGACAGAGGAGTGCAGACCGAGACTGAGAAAGTCTACTGGCTATTTGACTCCACTAAAAGCTGGCTCTGAGGACATGTAGAGGTGAGAAGTCAAAGTGTGAGAGCTGTGAAGGAAAAACTTAAAGTTCAGCTATGTGATTTAGGGCATGGTAGACCCTTTTATTGAAAGAGAAGCAATACAGAGCCCAGAGGATTTGTTCCCTGTTCCTCTGAGTTGACAGGACAAATGGCATTTTACTGATGGTAAAGAAGGGGGACAAGTTAGCCTCTATGACCACCCACCTCACTTAAGGCAATGCTGACAGGTCTTAAGATCACAAAATCCTTTAAAACACTTGCTAATGTGCTAGGTGATAGCTGGAGCCCATTGCCGGCCAGCCTGCCTGTGTTTGACTATAGGCCTGTCTGTCTATGCCTGTATGGACTGCGTGTCTGTGTTGGCCTCTGTATAGCATTTGCCTGAGTGCTTGCCAGCATCTCTCTACATAGTAGCCTTCATCTAGAGCAGTGGTTCTCAGCCTTCCTAATGCTGCAACCTGTAGATGTAACCAACCTTCTTATTAAATAAGAAACACAGAACCAATGCAAAGAAGAAAGCCAAGAGGCCAGAGCTAAGAGCTAAATCCTTACCCTTCCTCCTGTGGTGGTCCTACCTCTCCGAACCAGAGCTACCCCTGTGTTAAAGTCTTTATATATAGTTTCTGTTCTGCCTTCTCATTGGTTGTAAGCCCAACCACATGACCGCCTCCTCACGGCCTGTCTGTATAGGCCTCCAGGTTTTCTATGATTGGTATTGAGATTAAAGGCATGTGTATCCAATGCTGGCTGTATCCCTGAACACACAGAGACTTACCTAGCTCTGCCTACCAAGTGCTGGGATTACAAGCGTACGCCACCACTGCCCTGCTTTCCTATGGCTTGCTAATAGCTCTGACCCTGGGCAACTTTATTTATTAACATACAAATAACATTTTAATACAAATAAAATATCACCATAGCAACCTTTTAATACAGTTCCTCACGTTGTGTTGACCTTCAACCATAAAATTATTTTCACTGCTACTTCATAACTGTAATTTTGCTATTGTTATGAATTGTAATGTAAATATCTGATATGCAGGATAGCTGATATGTGACTCCTGTGAAAGAGTTGTTCAACCCCCAAAGGGACCACAACCTACAAGTTGAGAACCATTGGTCTAGAGTGCATAAAGTATGTCTGTCTTAGTTGCTTGCCTTTGCTGTGATAAAGACCATGATCAAAAGAAACTTGAGGAGGAAAGGGTTTACTTCATCTTAGAGTTTATGGTCCATGTGGTGGTGTGAATTAAAATGGCCCCCATGGGTTCATAGGGAGTGGCACTATTAGGAAGTATGGCCTTGTTGGAGTAGGTGTGGCCTTGTTGGAGGAAGTATGTCATAGGGGGTGTGCTTTGAGGATTCAGAAACTCAATCCAGGCCCAGTGTCACTCTCTCTTCCTACTGCCTGTGGATCCAGATTAGAACTCTCAGCTCCTCTAGGATCATGTCTGCCTGCATGCTGCCATGCTTCCTGTCATGATGATA